CAAATATACTCCCACTAATGCACCCCTCGTCCCAGGGGGGGGGGGGGGTCAACCCCTACAATATACCATCTGAGGGGGGGGAGGGGGTGGGGGGGGGGGGGGGGGGGGGGGGGGGGGGGGGGGGGGGGGGGGGGGGGGGGGGTGGGGGGGGGGGGGGGGGGGTGGGGGGGGGGGGGTGGGGGGGGTGGGGGGGGGGGGGGGGGTGGGGGGGGGGTGGGGGGGGTGGGGTGGGGGGGGGGGTGGGGGGGTGGGGGGGGGGTGGGGGGTTGGGGGGGGGGGGGGTGGGGGGGGTGGGGGGGGGTGGGGTGGGGGGGGGGGGGGGGGTGGGGGTGGTATGGGTAGGGGGTGGGGGTGGGGGGTGGGGGGTGTTGTTATGGTGTGTGTTTGGTGGGGTGGGTTGTGTTTTTGTTTTTGGGAGGTGTGGTGGGGGGTGTGGGGTTGTAGATATGGTAGATAGAAGAGTGTTTGTGTGGTGGGGCAACCCGGCTAATGAGGGGGGGGGGGGTGGGGGGGGGTGGGGGGGGGAAGAAATATGTAACGGAAGATTGAGTTTAGTGAACACTTCCTTGTAATGTAAGTGAACACGGGGTGGAAAAGAACAGTAGAGGGGGGTATAATCGATCATATAAATAATAGCCCCACCATTCGGCCCGCCTACCGACTGCTAGGCACCCACCACGGACCACCAGGCACCCCACCCACAACCCTTCTAACCCAGAAGACGTTTGCAGCTTTGGTTGCCGATTTTGTGAGAATAAACCAACTTGTGCGTCAGACGCAGCACTATACATTTTTCCAAACTGAATCGAAGTAGATTCTGGACAACGCAGTTTAGCGGTTAAACACTGAAAGCAATACTTGTGGTGAAATGCAGTTCTGAAGAAAAGAGTGTCGTGTATCCTTGCGAACAACTTCACTACATGCTAATGCAGCGCCCAGACCTATGCTCATGAAATCATGGATTAAAACATGGTGAAATAATGCCGACCGTTGGCTATTGCCACCATAGTAATAAAATTGCTTTTTTCGCAAACCAGCGCCATAATGTGCTGGGATCCCACTATTAATCCACGAACTTCTTAAGTAAGTAAACGACGAAACTTTTGGTTGTACTTTATTCTAAGCACACCTTTTACTGTTCCAAAGCGGCTATGTTAGTAGGTATATTTAATCGTGCCTTCACTTGTATGCCTCCTTCTAGCGCGAATATGCCCCTTATTTATTTATTTAAAACCTCAGTAGCGTAGCCATTGTAATGACTATTAACGCAATTGCTTTTTTATAATTGTATTGAAGCAAAATATGTAGATATGTATCTTTTCAATATATTTTACGACCAACATATGCAGAAACAAACGGGGGTAGGTTAAATGTCTCGGTTTGCCGTGCAAGAAATCTGGAAGCGTCTCGGTTTGGCTCATCAATAATCTGGCCACCTTACATGCACCGTACCTAACGGGTGCGTCACCACCGCTGAATCTCAAAGTAGAGCATTAGATGTCGCCGTGAAATGCGCCTCAGGTGTTCCAGAAGCGTTGTGTGCAGTTCGCTCGCGGTATCTCTTATACACACATATTCACAGTTATTGTGAATACATTTGTGAACACCGTTAGTCATCTTATCTACGAAAAGTGTGTATTTCAGATACATCATTGTTGAACAGCTCCCGAGTTTTATTCCATGGTTAGTGCCGTCTGAAAGGAAAAGGTAGTTCCTTCTACCTATAATATTCTTATCGTCCCAATCCATTCCGCTGTATATCTTCAATGTGATTTCATCATATTGTGAAACGTGGCTTTCACTACCGGTTTCGGGTGTCCGCTACCCTGGAATTATCTTACTGTCTACTTCCTTCTCTGTGCACATGGCCTTATCTGCGAATCACAGAGATCGGAATTGCAGTACTGTGTCCCATCTGTGTCCGTCGGTTGACGATATATCGGTTTGGAAGCTAATCATTCTTGCAAACTGAGCAGTCAAGGAATGGCGATGTGCTACTCTGTGGTGGGCGATTTCCGATTCTTCACAAACTAGCTTTCCTTATCCACCTTTTTGGTCAAAATGTGCCATCCACTTGATACCAACAACTTCTGGCCATTTGCTGGAGTTTTCCAGTACTATGTACAACATAGTGGTCATTGGCGATCTCATGAGAACATCATATTCTCCAGTGCCTACTTCCGACTGGAACCCGAGGTAGAACAACATACCGCGCAATGTCACTGTCGGTTGTCTCAACCAACTTAATTTTCGGTCACTCCCTAGGTTAATCTCTTCAGTCCAACGGTGTTTCACCCTACCCAGTGCAATCGATACTGTCTCATTGTAGAGTAGATTTCATGTCTGGTCGTCTGCGCGTAACAGTGAGCACGCGAATGGCCGCCTACTTCTGCGTTGTGTGTCTTCATGCCGCGTAAGTGAGTGGGTGGAAGTTACAGTACTTCCTCAACCGTCCATAGATGCCGCGTGCTAGTCCGCACCCATCCTGCAGTGAATGAGCTCACGTTTTGTTTTCGCGACCACTGTGCATCACGTGGTTTGTTGGCTGAGCGCTGCACCAACCGATGCAGACGTTCTGAGTACACTTGTACTGATTTGCAATTGGTCAAGACGATGGATTCAGCTTGATGTGGATATGAATTGGGTTGAATATTGTTAAGGAGGAGCTTGATTCCGTAAAGGACTGGCTTGCTTCCTAGGAGGTATATAGCCGGATGTCAATTTTTGGATCTGTCACCTATAATGACATTAAGGCGAGCCTACTGCATGTAATTAATTGGTTTATCTTGGTGCATTTTCTATCCTTCTAACTCATGACCAGTAAACACCGTTTTCATAACATTTTCAATGCAAAATTTGAAGAGGTAATTTGTCGTTCGTTCATTTTGTCACACGACGCGGACAATATTAGCGAGTGGTGACAGCTTGCTGTAAGTCAGCCCTTTACCACAGCTGCATTTAAATTACGCGGATACTATTTAAATATTTCTTGTGTATCAGTTTCCTAAGTAGACATCCCCTTTTTTACGTCAGTCTATTTTAACAGTAGCACACTAATGTTGAGTAACAAGATATCAATGAACCGCTAATTTATGAGATGTTGCTATAAAAACTGACGTAATGAGAATATGTGGTCGATGCATTCCTGACCACACCATAACTCTGCGCACTCCTCATGAATTTCATGGTCGACAGTAAGTCTGTAAGCTATTACAGTGGAAAGCAATTTGAAAGCGATGGCGATTATTTTGCTCCCTTGCCTTTGCAGCATTCCGAACGCGAGCACCTTTTAAATATTAAGACAATGACGGAGCGGCTCCCGTCAATTTGAATTGTTTGTGCTCCACATTTGCTCTAATAGTGCATGCTAATCAACAACGTGCGCAGCATGCAGGGATATAATGATCGCTAGAGGAAATCAGCTAGTCACGCAGCTTTTTCACGTTAAACAGGGTAATCTCGCATTCAGCTACTAAACAAATTTGCCAAACTAACTATCAGCTCAGGGAGCGGCAAGATTATCAGCCGTGAATAACCTAACGAATCCGGTCGATTACTTTGAATTTCATACTGCTCAGCCCGAAGCTCCAAAAGTTTTTAAAAGTTAGTTGTAGGCAGTCCACGCATTTCACGTATTGTGGTTAAAACCGGGTCACCCGGTCTCAGACGAAACAATTTCGGTTGGTTACCGAGGGCAGTGGACACTTCCATCTCTGGCGCACAATGGGTCCACCACGCTACAAGCTTTGCCTCCAGGCTAGCGCGCAGTATTTTCTGACGTCTTCGCGAGTCTCCTGTTTTCTGCCAGCCTTCATGTGCCAGTGCTCATTGATAAGTTCCAGAAAAAGGGAAGTGTCCCTATGTCTATTCTAATTAGTAAATTTAATACATGACAAGTTACTAGCTTCAAGTGAGTTCTGGTAAACAAGCGACCAGTGTTCTTATACTGTATTCTGTGAGCGCTTTCTCCTCCCGGATGCCAATCTAATCCGATGCGCATGCAGAACACCTGGATTTGGCAGTTATCTGGTGTCTGTGCGCTCACACGATTTCGACGGCGACCGCCACCACGTACTCGCATATCAGCAAATACAAGTAAAGGGTCTGTGGCCATTCTTGCGCTTTATATCGTGCGACAGATTTGGGTGCATCCTTTCCAGTTATGACTGATGGTATTATGATCCATTTGCGTCCATGACTGTTTAGATTTTGATAGCACCAAGCCACCTTCTGACAAATTCTGCTTCTGCAGTTAGGGCACGCAGGAAATACGCGGGGATCTTCAAACAATTGAAGCAGGCGCTTAACGCAATCAATAAGTGAGTCTACACTACTTTGGCTACCTATATACAATGCAATAAGGGTCAATTTTCAAACTTGAGCCCTCAGATCTCTAGCAGATACTTCGGTGTCGGTGCTCTTGCAGTGGCTCTGCAGCTCGTTTAGTTGACGAGAGAAAACGTAGGCAGCGATTGTAACCTGACAAAAGATTAATCCCGCGCGTCTTCAGTGTTTTAAATGGAGCCAGCCAATCGGCCCGCACCCAAATGACCACTGTTTAGGAGCCAATCAACCAGAGCACATTTAGACTCAAATTAATACCAAGAAGGGCTTGGCTAGCACACAAAACTCCATTATCTCCACAAATGCGAATAATTAAAAATTTAAAACAGTTAGTCCCCTTCAGTAGTTTGAACAACGAAATAAGAAGACGAATACTGGCAGATGCTAGCATTTCGTATTATCTCGTCAGTACCAATACAATAACTGGGAAATTCTTTTATATGTCTTACAGGGCACAGGCAAACCAATCAAATTTATTGTTGTGATCATTGATATCAGATTACGTCCACGGCAACCGCAGGTTGACAACTAATTGCTTTTGGACACACAAAGCTGGTCTAATTCGGCTTATCGCGACGGCCTCGGCAAATCGTAAAAGGCGTGCATTAGTATGACGTAACAAGATCCGGAAAGCTGATAAGGGATTGACCTGGTGACGAGTCGCCAAGATGTGCCTGCCTATGGAGGACGCTGGCGGCTTACGCAAACACGTATCATCGGAGGTGGATTGGGTAACTTCACGCTGAACCCAGTTTGGTAGGTGTTCCTTCACTCGGGAATCTAAAACCCGTTCGGTTCTGCCGATGTAACTGATACCGCAGTCACACACGAATTGGTAGACACAATGGGATTTGGCGCCGACAGGTTCATCTTCCTTTACTGAAGGTAACGGCAACTTTCGGGTTCTGTTGATAATTACCGCCTCCGCAGCACAGTATGTACGCTGAATGGCCGAGACAATCCGTTTGGTTATTCTTTTCGTTGCAGTGTCCCTCTTGAATGGGAGCTCAATGTACACCTTCTTCTTTGGGGCTGTCAACACCATCTCCTTGGGCGGTCTAACTTGGCTATGTTTGTCAATGAATCGCTTTGGGTAGCCATTCTCCATAAGTGTCTTAGTGATCAGCTCTAACTCTTCAGCCAGGCAGTCGTTGGAGCAGATACGTCTGGCCCGAGTGAATAACGTTTTTACTAGCGTGCGCTTGGGTGTTGACAGCCCCAAAGAAGA